GAGATGGCGGCATCGGAGGTTATGGTGATGCTGGTTAAGGATGAAGAAGATAGAAAAAGATACAGAATAAGATGTCGTTTTAGTTTTCAGAAGAAACACATTTTAAGTTTGTTTATTATTAGCCATTGGATTTAGTTTAATCTATTGGCTGTGGTTAAAAGAAACTGTGATCCTCACACTTGCACCTTAGTGGTCAGTTTCTGACCAATCAGATTTTTTTATTATTTTAAAATACCAATTTTAAGATATTCATTTAGAGTTTAGGATTAGAGTATTAAACTTAAGATTTGAAATTAAAATGCATAAAAAAGATGAGAGTCTTAAGATTTATATCTATAGTTTAGGATTTCTTTTTAATGAATTCTTTTTGGGATTATAAGTTATTTGGTTTCATGTTTAAGGGTATAAAGTTTAAGTTTGGACTATGGTGTTTGAAGTTTGGATTATAATATATTAAGAGTGAATTTTTTTTAAAAAAATAAGTTTTAGAGTTTAAAGTTTAAAGTTTGAAGTATGATATAAGGTTTGGGGTTTAGGGTTTTAAGTACACCAAAACTCCATATAGTAATACACTAATACCACACAAGATATATAAACCCCTAAACTATTATATATATATATATATTACAACAGAACTTTAATTATCATTTCTTATCCCTTGGTTTTACATTTATATATCTTGAGGTGAAAAATATTAGGGTTTAGGTTTAGGGCGTTTAGGTTTTAGATCTTGAGATAAAAAGAGTTTTTTTTAACTTGTTATTACTATTATATTTTCTTTTTTTATCATATTAGTTGTTGTGTTATCTATGGATTTTAGAATGAAATATTTAAACTACAAATTAATTTATAACCAAAATAAACATTGCATTAAATTCATAAAACATACATTTTACATAGAATCCTACACTAACATCAATAAAGTTTAAGAATTTAACTTTAGATTTAAATTTAAAATGTTGTTATTAATGTTTGGGGTATGTGAATTGGAATTATGGTTTATGAAATAGAGTTTAGGGGTATAGAATTATGCTTTTGAAAATTTGAGATTTGAATTTAAATAATAAAAGATTAGAGTATTAAAATTTTGTATGCAAAGTTTAGGTTTGGGGTTTAGGGATTAGATTTAGGATGTAGATTTTAGGTTTGGGGTTTAGGGATTAGATTTAGGATGTAGATTTATGATGTAGTGTTTGAAGTTTAGAATTTAAAGTTTAGATTGTATTTTTAAAATAATTAAATTTTGAATTTAAATTTAAGATTAAAGTTATATTACAAACAAACATTGTTTTATAGATCAGAATTTAATAGGTATATATAAATATAAAAAATAAATTAATTTTTGAACAATAATTTAGTTTTTGAACAATAATTTAAGATTTGTGTTTTGAAAATTAAAAATACTATTACATTATAAATCTAAATTTGGTATTTGAATTTAAAATATTCATTCTGAAATTATTTATAATAAGTGTTGGATATTAGAGTTTAGGGCATGTTTAGGGTTTAGATTTTATGGTAAAAAATATAATTTTTTTTTTTCTAATTTTGTTATTGGTATTAGATTGTACAATTGCTAAGTCTACGGACTCTATTTTAAACTACAAAATAGAATCATCCAAATACACAAACCAAAGCAATTGCTAAGTCTAGGGACTTCATATTCAAACTACAAAACAATCCTAAGATCGTTGGAATCTCTACAAGAGATGTAACTTCCCACATAGAGACACTTCACTGTCCGAGTGAGAAGAGACGAACACCAAGTCAAAGAAGAAATCACCAAACTGACTCCCAAGACTTGCCGTCTGAGAAGAAAGGAGTAGAATGAGTCTGAGTCTGTTACAGCAACCACAGAATGAAGATTGTTATGCAATTGTCATCAAGCTGCTTTGAAGTCGATGGTATAACAACTAAGAGTACTACCTTCACAGCTCGTTTTCTTACTTCTCAAAGTCCTCCTTGTTTCCTGCCTGTCAACATGAAAATAGCTACTAAAGATATGCTCTTTCAGTAGTAAAACAAGTAACTCGAACGTAAGTAAGATTGACAAACCCCAATAGCACCACTCAAATCTGAAGTTGCATCAGCTCTCTTAGAGCCACTGAATCAAGAGTCCCTAAGTGAAACAATTAGAGAAAAGATTGTGACTTTCACTTTTTCAACTGAATCATGTTAACTTCAGAGACAAAACAATTAAACCAGAAACGAGGGATTCACTGCTGCCGCCTTGTCACCGCCGCCTTTAAGCTCACGACAACCAACTCTGCTCACGACCCACCTTCATGTACCAAAATCAAAACAATATTAGAGAGAGAGAGAGAGAGAGAGAGAGAGAGAGAGAGAGAGAGCTTGACCGGCGAGGTTCATGGCAGAGAAGCTATGTTGATGGTGTGACCTTATCCAAGACCACATGTGCCTTTAAAACTACTCAAGTCAGCAATAACAAAGTGACTCACAAACTAAGACACACACTGCCAAAGCTATCTTGCCAACATCCTCGTCAGCTTGCCTAATCTTTTTAATACGAGCCTGAAAAATTGCCCATCAAAACAAACACAAAGTGTGCTCAGTACAATCATCAAATCGTTTGATATAAGCATAATAAATTAATCGATTGGTACAATAATCTTTTTAATCGATTGAACTCACATACACATTGACCTGCAACCAAGGTTATAGAGAAACCCAGAAAATCACAGGACAGGTACCTTGCTCATGGAAGATCTGAAACGAAAGCCTCCTGCAAAACAATAAGATTTTAAAATCAAGAGATTCGATTCTGATTCGAAGAAGTCTTCTGTTTAGAGAATCTGGAAACCCAACCAATGAGATTTTAAAATCAAGAGCAAGATCTTACAAGGAGATGAGATTTTATGAGCAAGAGAGTAAAAAGAGAGGATGACGGCGATAAAGATGAGAAAAAGAGATAGAGTGAAGGAAGAATGAAAAAATTAGGGATTAGAGGGGAATGAAACTTTGCCCGGGCAAATGAAAAAAAATATTCCGCCTAATTAATACATAGCGTTTCTAATCTAAAGTGCTATTTAAGACACATATCAAAATACATAAAAATTCGCCCCAACAAAAGATAGCGTTTCAAATTAAACAAACGCTATCAAAAACTTATTGATATACCAAACATAGCATGAACGAAAAAAACGCTATCCTACTCTGCTATAAAAACCCTTTTTTCTTGTAGTGTCAATTAAGCACTAGTCTAGCACTCGGATCACTCAAGATAGATCAGCCCACTGTCGTGGTGCTTCACTTTTTTTCAATCGATCATAGTACCTAAAATGTTGTTTGGACTGAGACGCGATGACAAAAAATTAAGATCAAATCCGATAGTTCACAAAACACCCCTAACATCTATTTTCGCTGGCTAGGAATGCAATGCTCAATCATTCAATGTCTAGCAACCTATAAGTCTTTTGATGAATAGATTTTAACCCAGATTCATACACTAAGTAATTAGTTTAGCATAAGCAATAAGCGCAATAATGAATGAAGAAAATTGATTTTATAACTTATTCATGTTTATCTCATGGATCTAACACCCTAACACCCTAGACTAATCAAGTAAACTACTCAGTCATGAATCAAGAAAATACAGAGATTGAAATTGAATAATATAACACTGCAATTATAAAAGAAATAAAGATAGGGTTCATGGGGTTCTTCTCTAAGGCGAGAGAGAGATCCTTCTCCCTTTACAAGGTATGAAATCACAGTAATAGAACTTTAAGGTCTGGTTTCATCTCAAAAACTAGCATAGAAAATAATAGAAAAGAGAAAGAGAATATATGTGGAGGCTACTGGCGGCTGGGAGAAAAATATGAGAAGGATTAGGGCAAATCCCAGATATCTTTTAGTTTCCTTTAAAATCTCCGTCGTAGGAGCATGCATTCGGGTTGCTCCGGACGCTCAGGAACAGCCTGCAAGGTTGCTCCTCTCGTGGAAATCTTCAATTCGGGTCTTTTCTTGATTCTTTTGCTCCAGATAATCTTACTTCCATCATATACAACTACAGACATGTAATCACTCAAAAGGACTAAAACGACTCGATAAAGACTCATAATTAATTAGGGAAACGTATGTACAATGTGCTAAAAGCACAACATGTCATTTCATCAAGAATATCATCAAAATCATTGGTATGATCCACTTGGTGCGTTCGGTTTGGTTTCATAGGTTATTTGGGTCGTCAGTTTAGTTTCGTTCAAATTCAGTTTTGTCGGGTTCAGTTTCGTTGGGTCCAGTTTCATCAGTTCAAGATCGTTGTCATTTTGTTGATCAAAGAGAGAAGTCGTAAGCCGAAAGTTTGAGGAGTCGCAAGTGAAGATCGAGAGTTCAAGGTCATAGGTCGTGAGAGTTGCATATTGTTCTTCACGTCATCATCCAGATCGTTGTCTTAGTAATCTTCAATTGTCATCACCATGACCAAACTCTTCTAACTACCATATACAAAAGCGCTATTATAGTCCACAAAAATCACTGATAAAATTTCAGTATCGAGGCTTCGATACCATGAGAAGTTATGTAGTCGATATGAATTCTTGTGTTATTAATCATTGACTTCAAGATCTCTTTATATACAACTCTTCCCTAGTTCTATCTAGAAAATGAGATTACATAATATAGAAATATTATATTCTCAACTCGTTCAGGGTATTTTAATATTCCCTAATAATATATGAACTCTGTCACTAGTATAATTCCTAACGAACTATGCTTTTTTTATTAGGCTGTATTTTACAATTTTTCTCTTCGTTTCAATTGTTTTCTTTTGAACACCGTTTCAAACTTTCTTAGCGTTTTTTTACCTTTGATATGTCCGTGTATATATATGTCTGACGAAAAGGACAATTCAGACAAACTTATTTGCCTTAAATAATGTTAACATAAATCCAACCCATTTCCTTCGTGGTTCGTTCAACAACTGACAAAACAAAACCCTAAATAAAAAAAACATTACACGAGAAGAAAGAACACAAATTAAAGGCCATAATGATCAACACTATAAAATACAATGAGACGGAAATTAAAACTCAGAAAGACAGTTTATGGAAATAGAACTCTTGGATTTTTTTTTTTTTAATAAACTAGAACTCTTTGATTTATTGCACACTACATAAGCAAACTTCGAATAAGCGCAGCTTGAGCTGAATCAGTTGATTCCAAAAGTTGAGATAATCTTTCACTAAGATCATCCACTTCTTTGTTCAAGTTCCTTATGTAAGTGCACGTCTCTTGTAATACCTTCGATGCTGAAACCTGAAATGTAACCAAAATGTGGTATCATATTTATGCCTTCTAACTTTTTCCTAAACAATAGAAAATCATGTTCAATTTGTTTTGCATCAGTTTTGAGAGGTAAATATAAATATTCTAACTGAGTTTACCAGGATTAGAAAAGGGTTATAAGTCATCCCGTCTTCACGGTATGAAGATTACATGTTCGTGTGTGTGTGTGTTAGTGTGTGTGTTTAAACCATTTTGATAGTTTAAAAATATTGGCTTTCTAATTTGTTTCAGCATATAATTAAACCCCGAAACGTTGCACTACTATAATTCAAATAGGCGAAAGGCTAGTTGACTTCAACAAGTAGATACGCTAAGGAAATATATAGTGTTTTTTCGTTAGACGAAGGAAATTAGAGTGAACAAAGAAAGACAAATGAAATATTTTGTCAAAAAAAAAAAGACAAAAGAAATATTAAAATAAAGAGCTGACTAGCTCACTGTACCTTTCCAGAGCGTCTGCTGTTGTTACCAAGTTCGGGGAGAAGACGATGAAGCTGGAGGACAAGATCGTTGATTTGGTCTTCGCTGATCATGGAAGCTCCGGTTTGTCTTGATGAACGTGACCTTCGGCTAGACATAATAATATGTATGTAATATGGTAGAGATTTATAAATCTTCGGGTTTATTGATCTTGATCAATGTAGATATGTGAGTGGAACTATGTAAGCCTTTTGTTGTATGGTAGCTATTTATATTATCAGAGCTAGTGGGAGAAACAAATAGGAAGAATATAGAAGTGGAAGGGATTGCTACTCACAGAATACACATCGAATGGTTTCAACTTGTGTTTAAATAGCAGATGTTCAGCCGCTTTGACTCCATGGAATAATTTAATATGAGCAAATACATACTACCTTCATTTTTAAAAAAAATATTTGACGTTTTATGATCATTCACATAGATCAAGAAATATTTATTCTTTTTTTCATTTTCTAAACTAATAATAAAATAAAAATTATAATATCATTGATCATCTAATATTAATTATTAATAAATTTTACATAGAAAATTGTACACAACGAATAATTTGGAACACAAAATTCTTTTAAAACGTCAAATATATATAAAAAGAGGGAGTAAATGTTTCCGAAAGCCATTTATGAAAAAAAAAATATATATGTTTCTAATTAACATGTTTCCTAACAAAAATCAAGTGTTAGTTAAATTAATCGGTGAACAGATTAAAACTCCGCGTTAGTGTTTATATAATGATATAAAATATTAAAGGCATTTTGAATATTTACTCTATTCTGTTTCATAATAAGCAATGTGTTTCATAAAAACCAGATTTATTAGCAACATACCTTTGTAGTTGTCGCAAATTTTGCAATAGAAATAGATTCGGATATGCCGTGAGCACATTTATCCAAAACCGAATTAGGTTCAGGTTTAGATCCTGCCAACTACCCGAGCAGATCATATATCTCTGAACCAAGAACGGAACAGAACTAGAGTAAAAAAGATCTGAGTGGATACCCACATTTCTATAATAGAATTTATATATTTTTAAATATTGATAATATTTAGTTTTAAAATAGTAAAATTATTTTAAAATAATATTTATAAACCAAAACACCAAAAAAATGAACTACTAGGATACATTTTATCAGAAACATTAAAATTATCCAAATTGTCCAAATTTTTATCTAAAACCCAAAAAAATGGATATTTAATTAAAAAGACCAAATTTCTGACTTTTTTACTAAAATTAACAAAAAAAAAACAGGATCTGGAATAGGAACCGGAAGCGAATGGGATCCTAAGTTATATCAGATATTAGCCAGTTCCTAACTTTGTTACCCGAATCCAACCGAGAACCAAAATAACTTTTCTAAATAACCGAACGAAACCTAAATCTCTAAAACCAAAGAACAGAAGAACCAAATCAGAACTTGGACCGAGAACCGTCTTCCCATGGCTAGATTCAGGGGTGTCCAGTTCGGGATTCGATTCGGTTTTTTGGCCTTAAAATGTTATATACTATATTCATACTATATCTATTTTGGTTTAGTTTTGTTTTATATCTTTGTTTTAAATTTATTCGGTTTTAAACAAAATATCATAATTATGTATGTTTTAATAAAATTATACATTTTATTTTATATGGTTAAAATAAATGAATGAAAACATAAAATATTTTCTTATTCTTATCTTAAATATATTATCTAATATATATTAATAGCAAAAATTAAATAAAAATTAAATTTTGATAGTTAATAAGAATAAATTTTAATATTTTAAATATTATCAAGTAAATGAGATTAACTCAAATAAGTAACTTATTAACATACACAAAGAAAATAATTAATAATTTATTTAAAATATACAAAATAGAAAGAAAAAAAAATAACTCTCTTAAATGTAAACAGAATAATAATAGTAAAATCAAACTTTCAAATCAAAATTATAATTATAAAACTACTTAAATATAAATACTATTAATTATGATGTAGTTTACATACAACTATACTGTTATTTACTACTATATTTTAATCATGAGGTTTTCATCATTTAAGTCTATTAATAACTTAACTAGGTAATAACTCGCGTGCTTCGTGCAAAGTGTGATTATTAGTTTCATTATTTTTTAATAAAAAGATATTAAATCTGTTTGATTTGGATTTTAGATTTTTGTTTTTCTTCGTTTTTTAATCTCCTGAAATATAAATATCCTTCTGAATCATTATTCATTCTGGTTTGTTCAGGATAAAATGTTTGATGTTTTTGGTTCTTCCAGTGATAACCAAAATTCATTATAATATGTTTGGTTTAGATAGTTCTAATGTCAAATCAATGATTTTATATTATAGTTTATAAACGAATGAGAGTTAAAGAAAAAAAAAAAACTATTAAGACAAATTATTTCACTCTAATTTGGTCGATAGTAAATATTAAGAAAAAAAAATATTTCAACTTATAAAAGAATTAGATACTTTAGTTGTGGTGAATATTCAGTTAAATAGGTACTCACGTCAATGTGTACATGCATATGTAAAAAGTATATAGAGGTGGTTGATAAATATATAAAGATTGTGTTAATTAATATTAAATGGTATTTTTGTTCAAAATAACACATGAGAAATCAAATTCTTAAAATAAAATTTATTAAAAATAAAATAGACGTCGACGTTAGTGAAGTTTTTTTATATAAATAAAATCAATTTGTATCCATAAATAGAGGTAGGCATGCATCGAATATCCGGGTATTTGGTGTCTCGAATATCCAGAAAGTTTTAGAATTTTAATGGATATCCGATTTGATTCGTAAATAAAATAAAAATTATTAAAATAAACTAAACATCTAAAAAAATACAAAATAATAATATTTTATTACAAAATAAAACATTCTTTGAATTCTTAATAACTAATAAAATAAATATAATACATAAAAAAAATTTAAAACTTATATAAACTATAACAAATCGAATCAACTATTCATTCCTTAAAATATTAATATTTGTGATTTTCTTTGTTTTTTATGGATATTGCATTTTAGTATTTGATTTTCTTTTGTTGTTAAGAATATCCAGATTTTTCGGTTAGAATAAAAAAAAGCAAATCGAATAAAAATTTATAAATATTTTTTCCTCCGTAAACAATAAAAATAATATATATATATATATATATAATTAATTAACTATGCATTTTGATTCAAACCGAAAAATTCAGATAGTGTGATTTTTATTAGAACCTTACATGTAAGTTTTATATCGAAAAATATGGAAAATTTATAATGTAGACTCACTTATGTAGAATTTGGCTGAAAAGTTCTCTCTACTTGTGATACATCCGCGTTTTCATTATCAAATCGCTGTAAGGCTGATACGTGTCTCTTAAAATGTAAACATATATATTACAATATTTTTTCTTTAATATATAAGGAATTGTATCTTTATTGCAGTTTATAAATAATCAAACCCAAATTGTATTTCCTATTTTCGTTTGATTTTGGTTAATTCCATAATAGGGTTTAATGGCCAAAAATGAATTGAATTCCACTGCTGGTCTGCTAACAATTAATATTCTTAGCTAAATACTCTCTTTGTTTCATTATAAGTGTCACTCTACAGTTGTGCACACAGATTAAGAAAACAATTAATTTTACATATTTTCATATAAAACACAGTTACCCATACACCTAATAATATTTTAACCAATAGAAAAATAATTTTTATAATAAAATTAATAAATTTTGCATTGAAAACCGAAAATGACACTTATTTTGTAACGCAAAAAATTATCTACAACGACACTTAATATGAAACGGAGGGAGTATATAGTTTCTATTCCGACGTGATTTTCATCAAAACATTTTTTTTGAGGAGTAAATGTTATTCAACAAGATTCTGTTATTAGCGATTGATATTTTGTCTTGCGATGTTTAAAATTTTTATGGGAAACGTTGCTACTTGATCTTACTAAATAAAAATACTAATGTTCAGTTGAACTAATATACATGATTTCTTTTGCTATTCGAATTTTCATGTTTCTTATATAGGAGTAAATCACTAGTGGTCAGTCACTCACCAATCAGGACAAGAAAATAAATAATGCTTTTCTCAACAAAATAAAATAAATAAATAATGCTGAAATTAAATAATGTTTAGAAGGTGAGGAATTTATGATGCTTGATTGTAGTAGGCGAATACCCTTTTTGGTCACGAATATAGGGGGATACTATAATGTCTTAACACTTAACCGACAAAGGGAATATGCATGATACTAAATTTTTAACTTGTTCATATTGACACACATTTATTGGCAAACTTGCTTAATTTCTGGAACTGTGATGATTACAAATAAAAATAAACTGGTGATGATAAAAAAAATTGGTTACGAATTTTACCAAAAAAAAAATTGGTTATTGTTTTTGATTATTATAGTTAGGTGTCTGATTGACATTAACATCAGTAAGAACATCAGTTAAAAGGTTTGCTACAAATCCATCTTCAGAGCAAAGCTACTAACAAATTAATAAATTTAAAATATATCATTTTTCACTCAGATAGTTCATTGTTACGAACAAAAATTACTTGTTAGAATCAAGCTCTATAGGATCCTAAATTTACGAGAGATTCCTGGAAAAAAAACTGTTAACATCTAAAACCCTATATACTAAATATTAGGTATGAGCATTCAGTCAAGTTCGGATTAGGTTTCTCCCTATACGATTTTTCAGGTTTTAGAATTTGAATATGTCAATTTGGAGTAAGTTCAGGTGTGTTTGAAAATCTAAACTTTTACTTGATATATAAAATTGTACCCAAAAACTCAAATCTAAAATTTTTTTAATACCAAAATTTACTGAAATACTCATATATACTTAATATATATTAAAAATTACGTATTTCGAATATCCTATCGGATCTTGGATTTGGGCCGGGCTGAATTCAAGATCCACGGATCCTCTACACTAAAACTAAATAGAATAAAATGACATTATACTATCCGATTCCAATCAGTTTTTTTTATTCTGTTCTAGTTTGGGTTTTCGGGTTCAAATAAAATAACTATATCTAAGAAATATATAGAGATAATATATAGTTAGCTGCTCATCATTTTCTGTTAGAAGTTGATTAAAGGGTAATCAATTTCCAAAAAAAACGTAAACTTTACAAGAAATAAAATCACATATGCTGTTCTATGATGCATGCATGGACAGACAAACATGCAAATGTAATTTAGTCTTTTTTATAAAAAAAAGTGCGAATATAATTTAGTTGATTTTGTTTTATTTGAAATGAAGCTAAATA